GTCTAGGTCTTTCTTGGCGGTTATTTGATTGTATAAAAGCAGCTTTAGGCCTTTGTATTTAAAAAGAGCTTCCAGTATTGTAATAGAAAACACTTTTCATGTGAAAATCATTTGAAGCATTTCTTTCTCTGTGTTCTTCAAGAGTTCTTCATTGTGTTCTTATTGATTTCTACCTGCTTGATTTATAACTGTCCGCTGCATACTCAATGTCTATCTATTTAATCAAGTAAGTTTTCAATACCCTGAACTGAGTAATACGGTCCAACAAGTGGTATGTTAAATTGTCATCTTGTCTAATTGAGCATGGTTTTATTCAAAGTATCAATGATTATTCCTTATTCACAAAAAAGTGATAAGTCGGTCTTCCTTATCTTGTTAGTATATGTTGATGATATTGTCATTACTGTGAACGATCTTGGTGAAATTGATAAAGTCAAAATTTTCTTTAAAAGCAAGTTCAAAATAAAAGATTTGTGAAAATTAAAGGTTTTTCTAGGTATTGGAATTTTAGACTGCATAAATGGAATTTGTATGACTCAAAGAAAGTATTGTTTGGAGCTGCTAAATGCATTTGGATATTTAGGATGCAAACCTTGTAATACTCCAATGGATAAAAATTCAGTCATTTCTGATTCTAATAAACTCGAGGATTCTCCTTTACCTGATTTTACTGGTTATCAAAAATTAATAGGTAAATTGATATACCTTCTTGCTACTATAGGCCAAATATTGCTTTTGCAATTCATTGTTTGAGTCAATATATGCATTCTCCTAAACAGTCTCATTTTTGCTCTAAGAGTTCTTAGATACTTGAAGTTATGTCCTCGAAAAGGTGTTAGTTTTACTAAATCTGATCAATTTTCATTAACTGCTTTTGTTGATGCTGATTGGGGAAAGTGCCTCTCTTCCAGATGATCTATTACTGGTTTTTGTTTGTTTTTGGGTAACTCTATGATATCTTGGAAGAGCAAGAAACAAAATATTGTTTCACGTTATTCAACTGAATCTGAATACAGAGCAATGGCTTCTGTTGTCTGTGAGGTATTGTGGGTTCTAAAAGTTCTTAATGACTTAAAAATTCCAGATTTACTACATGTTTTTGTATTTTGTGATAATAAGTCTGCCATTCAAATTGCAAATAATCTAGTTTTTCTTGAACGTACAAAGCACATCGAAATAGACGTTCATCAAATTAGAGATAACATCAGCAAAGGATTAATAAAAATTGTAAAAATCTTATCTTCTGAACAAACTGCTGACACCTTTACAAAAGCTCTTGGTATAAATCATCATAACTACTTATGTTCTAAGTTAAGTTACGAATGATTGATTTATTCAAAAGTCAAGATTAAGGGAGGGTGTTAAAATATATATTTTCTACAATCTTAATTTTTATATGTAAATTTCTTGTTGAGGGACTAAAACTGTCAAAGCTTAAAGTTGTGGAATCTGATGATTGGAGTTGGAGGACTGTGCCTCATTTCTTGGGATTCTTCAGGTGCAGCGGAGCACTTCCTGATATCTTGAAGGATCATTGTTGACAATTATCATTTCATATATATAGGGGTTTGTAACCCGTATTTTCTTCATTTGGTTCATTTTATTTTTTTACATTCAAAAGTTTTCTCTCCAGCTAACAGGTAGGTTTCAAGAGTATTTCATCTTCCTCTTTTATCTTGTTAGAGATCTTGTTCATATTGTAATATTGTTCAAATATATTACAAACGTATTGCTTATTCTTTTGAACAGCATAGGTGGGGTTGTATCATTGACGATGCAACTTTATCAACATAATTGGGTTTGAAATTAAAATTCAGATGATAATAATTGTCAAAATTTTGGGCGTCAAAGTTTGGATCAAAATTGTCATCTCCTGGGGTTGAAATTATATAAACATGATTATTTTGTTGTTGAAACTCATTGGTTATAAGCATATGAAACTCTCGATCGTTTACAAGCTGATCACTATGATATGAACATATAACTGTTAATAACAAATTATCCAAATAAAATCCAATAATGCCAAATAAATACTTAAAATATCTACCTTTATGACATCATTTGCACTTTAAATATGCTCCACGAGGTTTTTAATGTACATTTGAGCGACCATCGAATCCACGTCGCCGATGGGAACTAGTTGAATAGTATCCTAAATATGTTTATTCAATTGTTCAATATAACCTGCCAAATCCACAGACGATCGTGGCGCTGATGAACTTGATGGACCCGTCTGTTTCTGTGTAACCCTCTGAAAATAACAACAACTATCCTTCCACCATGACCGCTGCAGCTTTGTGTCCGTAGGTGTCAACCTAGTCCATGGAAGCAAATTCTCCTGAATATGTTATTTATTTAAGCATTTAATTATCCTTAATAAAGTAAATTACTCAAGATAAGTTGATCAAACTCACATCATCGACCTGTATGTACTTCATACAATTAGACCACAATAATGCCTTTTTGTGCTGCCAGGCGCATGCCTTTAGAATCACTCCAGTACTCAGCAAATCGTAAGAAAATGAAGCATGTGAAAATGCTTTCAATATCCAAATCTAGACGATTAATTTAAATTAACAATGAGTAAACAATTTAATTTAAATATATAACTGTTATTTTATAGTTAGTAAACAATTTAATTTAAATACATAACTGTTATTACAAATAATTTTGTTCATTTTACTTTTACGTAACGGTTAGTATTTGTCATTAAATTAAAAAATATATTATATAAAACAATTAGTAAATAATTTAATTTAAAATAACAATTATTAAACCAATCATAAGTTACCTTGAATGTGAAAACGAATCCATTTAATGTGTATTTCACTGTGCTTCCATACGTCTCACGTTTTTTTGCGTAAGTTTTTTCATGTTTTGTTCAAGCTTTATTAAGTTGTCTATATAGAGACACCCATAAATGATTACCTCATGGATAACTATCTCATAACAAAGTTAAAGATCGGTATTTAAATCTACGTAATAAATATATTTACAGCAATGAAAAAACACATGTTCCATGTATCCAAATCATCGATTAACCATAAATATTCCCCTGAAACTATATTGTTTGGCTAGTGACTGATAAATCCAACCTCCACCAAAAGCAAAAAACATAGACGTACTACATCGATGTCTACTAAGGTTCTAAATTTTGTTGACTAAAAACCCGGGTAAGATCACCCTTGTGTACCGAATAATCTTCATCAACGTCTAAAACCCTTCTTTTGAAGGACAACTCTATGATTTCCAGTAACGCAGGGCTAAATCGCATACTGGTAATGAGACATAATATTTTTCACCCAAAACGTAAAATGTGTCCCTAACATTAAAATACATTGTCACATCTTGAGAGTCTTGCTCTAGTGGTTCTACCTGCATTTTTAACACCAAATGCATGAGCATCGAGTCTCCATGTGTTGACCATATATCGAGCCAATGACCAAAATAGGTACTCCTAACATTTGTAGCTTGTTTTTCGATAACCGCAATGTTGTCAAAATTGTGTTTGAAATTTCTAAAGTTGATTTTATCGTCACACATGCTTGCTATAACCCTATGATAGATATAATATAAAGAGATTACGAAAATAACATATAAATTTAAATTAGTGTGAAATGAAAATATATTATTGGTTTAATGTAAGAAAGCTTACCATGATGAAAGGTGGTCAAATGTCGCTCAACAGCTCAACGACATTGAAAGTGGCAGCTGAATTTTTAAAAATGGATGTTTGGTTTGATTTTGTTGGTGTAAAAAGTAGATTATATATAGAAAGTTGATATTAGTCGAGTAAAAATCATATTAGAGTCAATGTGATGATGGTTTGTGTTGGTGGTGGTAAACAAAAATCTGTATATATATAGTGGGTTTGAAGTAGGAAAAAAGTAAATTAGGAGTCGAACACTGGGAAGGGAAGAAAAAAATGTTGAAAATGAGAAAAGGAGAAAAGACACGGGGGTGCTTGGTGGGCACTTACGCTTCGAGGTGAGCAGTCCTCCCACCAGTGTGCGTTACTGGCTAACACTAAAGCTGGCAGCCGTAAGCTTTTCTTGTGTCAAGTCAAATAAGTCCCTCATCGGTCAACATCTTTTGTCAAATCATCGTAGCTTCTTCAAAGAATTAGGATTATGGTGGGTCATTCGGTACAGGTTTAGAAGGAAGGAAGAGAGAGGAGAGGGTGATTTAAAAAAATGTATTTTAGGGTTATTTTGATTATTTTTTATTTTTGTAAAAGAACATTTTGGTCAGATTTCATTAACCTCTCGTACCGGTAATTTATGGTGAGAGTACATTACGGATTTGGTTCTTATGGTTTGATGGTTTTTACAAAAATAGTCCCTGAACTTCATTATTATAGATTAGGACTCGTCGTATATCGTTTTGTAACGAATTGGTCCCCACTTCTAACGGCCATCTAGTTCCTCCGTTAACCTTGAGGGCATTTTCATCCTTCTTCTTTTTTTGTCTTACTCGAGGAACCAATTTCATAAAAAACAACATAAATCATAGGGACCAAATCTGTAATTAACAATATTTTTTTCTAATTTGAGTTTCTTAATTAGTTAATTATTATACTTTGATATATTAACTATTATAATTTCAAGTTTAGTTTCAATATACAATATATGTTTTTCTGTCAAAAAGAATATGTACATATATATATATATATATATATATACACACATAAACACATACATAGTGAGGTTCAGGAAACCCACCTCCATCAACCATTAAATTAATTGATTAAACAGATGAATAAATGAACGTTTATAACAATATTTTTAAATTATTTTTTTTTCACCAAACCTAATTTTTATTTAAAAAAAAAAACGAAGTATAAACAAAAATCGAGTGAAATACATTACACCACATTGATATATTTTTTCATCCAATTTTTTTCATTCATTTAACGTTTTACTCTGAACTCAACTATCTCTCTCTCTCTCTCTCTCTCTCTCTCTCTCTCTCACACACACACACACACAAAACACAAATAAATGAAAAACCAGAAAACCACGAAAAAAAACGGATAAAAAGTATATCAATATGGATGTCAAATTAGTAGGAAAAATATGATTGTTTTTATAGTGTAATTTAGTTAACTCGATTTTTATTTATATTTTTGTCATTTTTGAATAAAAAATGGGTGAGAGTGAGATTTTTTAATTTAAAATATATTATTGAAAACGTCAATTTAATCATAATTGTTGAATTAATTAATTTAATGATTAATAAATATTATTTTCTCCTTAATTATATTGTATATATATATATCTATACTATATTATAAAGTATTTGGCTAAAACTCTTAAAACTCTTAAAAACTCTTAAAAACTCAAACCCGTTCATCCCTAAACGATTTCATCCATATCCGATTTCATCTCATATCTGAATTCGTGTAACTAACTGCAGATAAACACAATCAAATATAGAATAAACATCTCATTTTAAATATAAAAAATCTAAAATATAATTAGGATAATCATTGAGTTCTAACAGAATACTTAATTATTATCTTTATAAAATGTT